AAAATCAACTTCAAAAATTATTTTCTACGGTAGTAAAAAATAAAGATATTTCTCAAAAATATTTTTATTGAAACACCAAACACTAAAATATTTTTTTAAAAAATATTTTTTACTCACCAATCAATCATGAAAAAATAAATCAAAATGTCTACTTATTTTCGAGAAAAATATTTTCATGAAAAACATTTTCATTCGTACCAAACACACCCTTAAACTCACCGTGCCGTGCCCGGTCCCACCCTGCCCAATCGTCACCCACAGTCGAGAGCATTTATTACTAATTCAATACCTGAAGCAACGCAACAACCATGCGAAAGTGACTACTGAGAGTAGTGGGCTGAAATTTGAATAGTCAGCAACATGAACAAATCTTTTAAACCCTCTCTCTGTTGCAGTAACCGAATTTTTCTCACTACTCAATCACAGCCACTATTAACCAGTCCTGTCCCAACTCAAGAAAACATCACCCGATTAATTTGGAACAAAAATCTGCGACTCAAGCTCTTCAAACCTTTAAATGGGCCTCCAACATTCGAAATTTCACTCATAATTTGAAATTTATTCAACAAGCTCTGCATTTTTTCGGCGTTTAGTCTATGTCCACCACATATTCGATGAAATGCGTAGCTCAACCCCAGATGAGGATATCTTAGTTACCCTTGTACGTGGTCTTGGTCATGCTAGAATAATTAAAGTTGTGTCCAAGTTTGAAAAAAAATCGATCCTGAAGCAATACGATTCGATTCTTGATGTTCTTGTGAACGAAGATAACGACATTGCTAGAGAATTTTATAGGATCAAAATAATGAGAAATGGAATTTAGGGTGACGATTATACTTGTGGGATTTTGATGAAAGGACTTTGCTCGACTAATAGGGTTGATGATGGGTTTAAGATTCTTCAATTTATGAAAACTCATGGCATTATGCCGAATATTGTGATTTATAATACACTTATACATGCATTTTGAAAGAATGGGAAGGTAGGGAGAGCAAGGAGTTTGATGAGAGAATTGGTTGAACCAAGTGATGCGACTTTTAACATTTTGATATCTGCATATTGTGGAGAGGGAAACTTAGTACAGGCTTTGGTGATGTTGGAAAACAGCTTTAGGAAAGGCTATATTCCTGATGTTATTGCAGTGCCTAAAGTAGTGGAACTTCTTTGTAACAACGGACGTGTTTCAGAGGCATTGGAAGTACTTGAAAAGGTTGAGGAAAGAGGAGGCATTGTTGATGTTGTGGCTTATAACACGTTGATTAATGGGTTTTGTAGATTAGGGAAAGTGAAAGTTGGTTGTCGTCTTTTAAAGGAGACGGAGTTGAAAGGGTGCATGCCAAATGTAGATACATATAATGGCTTGATATCTAGTCTTTGTGACTCCCAAGATTTGGATTCGGCACTTGAAATGTTCAATGAAATGAAGAGGAGAGGGGTTGGGATAAATTGGAATTTTGTCACGTACGATACTCTTATCCATGGATTGTGTTGGGGTGGGAGAGTGGAAAATGGATTGAAGATCTTGGAAGTAATGAAGGATGATAAATGAGTTTCGGCTTTTCATATTAGTCGGTATAATGATGTTATATATGGGTTTTACAACGAAAACCGTTTGGAAGAAGCACTTGCATTTCTGAGGAAGATGGAAAATTTGTTTCCACGAGCTGTGGATAGGAGCGTGAGAATACTTGGTCTTGTGAAAATGGCAACATTGGGGAAACAAGGAGGATCTACGATCAGATGGTCGGGAAGGGTGTTACTTAGTTAATGGATATTACGAAGGATATATAAACGAAGCATTTGAGCGGATGAACGAGATGACTGGATGTGGTTATCTTCCAGTTGCATCAACATTAAATGCTTTGATAGTTCTGGTTTGCAAGCGGGCTAAAGTTGGAAAGACGTCTAATTTGATAGAGGAAATAAACGACAGTGATTGCTTGTTGTACTCTGGAAGTTATAGTCCGTTCATTGATATCATAAACCATTTATCTTAATTTCTACAAATGGTGGTAGAAAAGGGTACATCTTCTGATTACCATTCATGGAATACATTACTTTTGTGCCTTTGTCAACAAACAAGTTGGATTGAAGACAATAACAAGATTTGCCATTTAACTAGCCAACTACATGCCACGATTAGTCACTAGGTATGAGTTGTCTGACATCTTATGTGACCTTTACAAAGCCTTGATATTTTCTGAGTCAAAATTGGTTAAACGAGATGCAGTTAAATCTTCAAGATTTTGTAGTGTACGATTTCCATAGATTGTAGTGTAAGATTTTCCATTAATTTTAGATGACTCTCTCTTTGGAGAGTACAACTTAAATAGTAACCACGTAGTATGACTCAATTTTATTCTTACATGTACATAGATAGATTCATTACAATCTGGTAGTTGCAACCAAAAATCCAGAGAAATAATCTTGACAAATCAAATAACTTGGCCGGCTATTTACATGCCGAAGGTTTTGAGAAATGTTTCAATCACATTTATTTAATAAGTTCATCTTTAGTGGTTTCAAAGAAATCTTTACCCTGCTGCGTGGGTGTTCCATGGAGCTCTTAATGGGCCTTAGAAGCCTAAAAGATATTAACTTCCATTTAGTTCTATGTAAGCAGCGTGGATAGTTGACACTGGGAGTTATGCTTTTCAACAACATAGATGAACTTATTCTTAGTTGATGGTACAAGAGGATTAACTGAATTTACTCTCTCATTAATCGACAATAATTGATGGGATGACCAACAGGGTTGAGATTATTGGCTTCATTGGTGGAGAAGGTATCAAACATATAGGGGTGATTAGTGTCCGAGATAATCCTTTGTTGCATTGTCCCTGGGCTATTTACAACTCAATGTCTAAATAGAAGATGCTTCTTTTAAATCTTTTGTTTAAATATTACTGAAAGACTCAAATTATATAATATATTAATCATTAATTACATGGGCTGACTTCGAGCTGGAGCAACCTTTGAAGGCGCTCGGCCTTGTTCACCCTTTCAGCTAAGTATCCCGCTTTTTCAAATTATATAATATATTAATCATTAATTACATGGGCTGACTTCGAGCTTGTATATTTAGTCACATTTGTATATTTACCACATTTGCATAATTCACAACTAACAATTCTTCATTTGATTTGTATTTGTATACGATGATTCATATTCATATATGACGATGATTTTCTTTGGTTTTCAGTTTTATCACCACAGACATTCAATCTTTTTATGTATTACTTTTTAAAATTTGTATGAACGTGTAGTTTTCGATCTTATATAATATAATTTATATAATGTAATTTGTATAATATAATTTGAAGAACTGTTTAATGTTTATATGTTTATGTTTGTATCAATTTGTTATTATGAGTTTTATCATTTTGTATAATTCTAGACTTTGTACTTCTCAATTATACAAAAACACACGAATTATACAAACGAGATGTGAATTATATAAACAATTGCCCTCTCTTACTCGCCTCTCTCCTTCCTCTCCCATTCTCGCTCACCACTCTTCTCCCTCTCCAAATCTCGCTCGCCACTCTCCTCCGTATAACATGTAGCTACGAATCGTAATCAACAAACTATAGCTATGAAGCATAGTTAAGTTATTTTTGAGTGGCTATATGCGAAAGTTACCCATAATAGAATTATTACAAGCCTTTAAAAAATATATGATATTTTTAATTTATTTTTCTTTTTTTAGTGTGTTTCGAAACATTATAGAATGTTTCTTTTTGTGATCAATCTTAAATTTAATTTCCACATGATATGTTTAAGACCACAAGATATTTTTATATATATATATATATATATATATATATTAAATTGAAAAAATATGTTTTTTTATCAAAAATAAAGAAATAACTTTGAACCACATAAACAAAATAATAGAAAATGTTAGGCCTCTAATTTATTTTTGGCTTTAAGCCATTAATTAGCTTGGGCGACTGGTTGAAAAAGCTCATGCTAAATGCATATACATGAATGGCTTGATATCTGGTCTTTGTGACTCCAAAATGTTGGATGTGATACTTGAAATGTTCAATGAAATGAAAAGGGTTGGTATAGATTGGAATTTTGTCACGTATGATACTAAATGAATTGAAGATCTTGTAAGTAATGAAAAATGATAAAGGGGTTTTGGCATTTCATGTTAGTCCGTATAGTTGTGTTATATATAGGTTTTACAAGGAAAATTATTTGGAAAGGTCACTTGCATTTAAAAGTTTGTTTCCACGGGCTGTGGATAAGAGCTGATCACATGGTTTGGGAGAGTCTTATGCCAAGTGATCTTGTTTTTGCAAACTTACTTAGTGGATATTGCAATAAGGTTGTAAAAAAAAGAAAGTCTTATGCCAAGTGATCTTGTTTATGCAAACTTACTTGGTGGATATTGCAATAAGGGATGTAAAAAAAAGAAGCATTTGAGTTGATGAACGTGATGATTCGGCGTGGTTATTTTTCAGTTAAATCAACACATAATTCTAGTTTGCAAGCAGGGTAAAGTTTGAATGACGTCTAAGTTGATGGAAGACATAAAAAGTAGAGATTGGTAGCTGGACTTTGGACATAAGAGAATTTTTTATTTGGCTACACATGAAGAGTTGTTCAATGGCCATCAATGGAGGTTTGTAGAAGATGGAAAATGGCTTATTTAATAAAGAAAATTTTTTTTAAATTGGTGATGCCACGTGGCACTAGAACACTAATTTAGGAGTTAATTTTGCCTCATTCACTGGCCTCTCAAACTTGAGATTCCACATGCTTTAAACAAGGGCTAAAAAGGTGTATTTGTCATGGTTAAGAATAGTTATATGGGTAGTAGGACTCCTGCAAACTTAAGGTGTCTACTTTAAAAAATGATATAAATTTAATAGGGGTAATTATATATTTTCTCTATTAGAAAGTACAAACTACTACAAAAATAATTACTAAAATGAGAAACTGCAAATAACTACCACAAAGAAATAAGAAATAAGACATAATGCATAATGTACACTTTAACTTGACATCATTTCATATTTATGTCCTCAACTTTGGCGGTATACAAGTAGACATATGAATTCTATGTAACATAATACATGTAGGACATAAATTATCATATACAGAACGTGCGTCTATTTGTTTATTGAGTCTTCAAACTCTTGGGACTAAGGAGTGATAACACATCGTGTCTTTAAGATCTAAGCTTTGTATAATGATAATATTGTGATGGTACATAAATACCTTTTGTTTATGACATACATGATATTGGTGTTTGTTCATAAACATTGAATCCATGTCTGGCATGGGCATCACTACCTAGTGTATAAAGAAATACTGATACTATTGTAATCTTAATTTGCTAACTTAAAATCTTAAGTTTGTTCTAACCTCTATAGTGGAACAGGGATAGCTAACAGAGGTTGAGCTTTTGCCAGTGTAATACCAAATTTTTCCTCCATGTCCAAATCTTTAGGTGCAATTCCACCATGGAGCTTCCAATTAAAGGTATTTAGAATTGAACCTAGTGTTACTGGAACCATCTTGATAGCCAAAGGCAATCCAGGGCATATTCTTCGACCAGCGCCAAATGGAATTAGCTCAAAATCCCGACCTCTAACATCTATATCTGACTCCCAAAACCTCTCCGGCTTAAAGTCCAAAGGGTCTTCCCATAGACTAGAGTCATTCCCTATTGCCCATATGTTCACAAGAACTTGTGAGTCTTTTGGAATAATGTAGCCACAAAACTCAACATCTTCCACTGTTTTGCGTGGGATTAAGAATGGAACTGGTGGGTGTATTAGTTTTCCTCTACCAATCACATCTGCAAGTTCTTCTTGTGCTTTCTCCAAAGTATGTGGATTCTTGAGTAGTTCAGCCATTGCCCACTCCAATGTATTTGATGTCGTATCGCTCCCTGCTACAAACATGTCCTGTGGAACTTACTAGTGTAAGAACCTATGATGACAAGCAAAAGATTCCAAAACATATATTACTTCAATTAATTGAGGAGAGGGATAGAAATTAAACCACAAGGAAAAGATGCTCGATATGATTCCTATCGATTTCTTGAGGGAAAATATTGAGAAGTGAATCTAAAACATCACTATTTATATGGTTTCTTATCTTCCTTTCGTTTAATCGCTCATCAATTAAACCACTCATAAGTTGAAGAACCTTAGTAAAATGATTTGTCATGTGTCGCCTTCTACCTTGTGGATCAATTTTCCTGAGAAAGGGGAAATAGTCTACTAAATTGGGTTCACCAGCCTCAACCATGATGTTCCACACCAAATCCTTAAATTCCTTAGCAGAATCAGAGAATGGATCAGTTAAATCTTTTGAGAAAATGGTGTTGGACAACAGATTTAAGGTAGTTCTAAATGCTGCTCTTCCAATATTTACTGCTTCACAATTTTGCCCACTCTTATGACAGTAGTCAATCAGCTGCTGGACCTTTTCAGATCTTAGATGCTTACCAACATCAAGATTGTGACCTGAGATCACAGAAAATTACGGGATAAGGCACAAATAACCTAGACTATGATCGAAATCTCAAAGATACTCATAACTATACTAAAGTCTTATTAACCTCTTGAACTTTTATTTTTGTAATTTTGAACATCTTTTGTCTTACGTGGCACACTCCGTGACTCCACACAGTTGAGGCGCGTGGAAAATATTTGGATGCAACATAAGCAAAAAAGATGAACAAAATTACAAAAAAGTGGGTTCAAGGATAATAGGACCTTAGTTTAGTTAAGGTGTGTTTCTGAGATTTCGATCATTGTCTAGGGGATACTTGTGCATTTTCCCCCAAAATTAATCTACTTGTTAGTACTCTTTTTTTTTAAAAAAAAAAAACTTCGTGAAAAGTAATATAAATCACAATTTAAAGTATTTATTTACGTGAGAAGATGTGAGAGTTCATAATCTTTCGAAATGTTCTCCATTGAGAGTTGACAGGTAACCAAACAACAGAGAAATCAGACTGATTGCAAGCATAGAGTGCATCAGAAACAGATCTGCTGGAAAAGCTCAAATCTTGCTTTTGCATGACTTGTTTAGCCAAGACTGATGAGGAAATGACTACTGTATTTATTTGCCCCAATTTTAGATTCATAATTGGACCATATTTTATCGCGAGTTGAGTAAGTGATATGTGAGGTTTGTCACCAAGCAAATGAAGATTTCCAATGATAGGCAAAGGAAAGGGACCTGGTGCAACTCTTTTGCTTCTTCTAAGTGAACAAATAACAACTCCATACACCAAAAAATAAGCAAATTATACTCCTATCAAAATGTTGTAGTCCATTTTGCTCTATATTTTCTTGACTTATGAACTAGCTAGCTATGAAATTAATATATTTATTGGTTTTAATAGGATTCTTTGTTAGGTCTTGGAAGCAATACCTCGCTTTCCAATTCCTATCGTATTAGGAAAAGGTCCTTCTCAATGCTCTTAACTTCCATACTAATATGAAAAGTTGTGTTAAAGGTCCAAGTACTAAAAGTGTGTAACTCTTTTATGATGCATCAATATCACTATCTAATTTGTACCTAATTTTTTTAATTTTTGAACATTTTAGACATGCAACTAACTTCAGCCAAAAACGTTACTAGGCTGATGTTCACACAAGAATACCCAATTTCTAATTATGAGGTATCTTATTTGGATATCACTATTTAATATGTATCTATTTTGTAACAATTTTTTTTTTTGAAAATTGTAGGCATGCAGCTAATTTCAGATATAGATGTCAGAAGTTATATATGACTGAAGTTCACGCCAAAATACTTTATTTTTTTTATATGATTTATCTTATTATTCTCTTTGTCCCTATTTAGTTGTCCACTTTAGAATAGACACAAATATTAAAATAACAATATTAACATAGTAAAGTTACAGTCTTACCCTTATTAATTATGGTTTCAAAAAGGATGAATTAAAAATTTTCAAGAAGTTTTGGATAATGGAGAAATTTTTTTTGTCCTTTCTTAATTTGTCAAAATGGACAAGTAAATAGGGACATGTAAAAGAGAAAATATGAACAAATAAATAGTAACATAGAAAGTATTGGATATCACTATTCAATTTCTGCCTATCTTTTTCTTTTTGTAGTGGTTTTGCAAATTTTAAACATGCAATTAATTTCAGACACAAATATCAAAAGTTAGATATGACTAAAGTTCACACAAAAATAAAGGATTTTTTAAGGTATCTTACTTGGATATCACTGATTCTTTATGAGGTATATTATTTGGATATCATTAAAATTAAAAGATTCACTTCTTCGCAACTTTATACTTCAATTGTTGTACTATAAATTCGAGAAATATTGTTGTGCAATTATATGCTATGAAGAAGTGATGGAGAAGGATGAACACATCTTTATGTTTGACATTTGTCAGTTTTCGTCTGATGTTTGCTAAAATTGAATACAAGTTTATTTTTAAATGGAAGAAATATATATACCGGAATTATTATAAATATATAAATATCCTCCCTTATATTTTTATGAATATCAATATCTTTGTCGTCTAAAAACTAGAATATATATAATTTTTATATTAATGGATATACACGTGTCATAATTTCATCGATCAATTCGATATTTATTAAATATTAGATCGACGGATAAGATTGCGTCACATGTCTCCATTTAATTTTTCATTAGAGTGAATGACATATATGCTCTAGTTTTTTTACGGCATGGGCACTTATTTCTTAAAGATATGACGGAGAGTATTTGCATATACTATTTCAATAGTTTAAAATTATATTTGTCATTTTTTAAAAAAAATGAGGTACAACTTAGAACTTGTTTGATATTGTTGTTTGGATGTTAAAAAACACTTCTTTTTTTTAAAGAATCAATTGTTTGGCAAGTCTTTAAAATTGATTTTAAATGGAAGCACAAGCAATTATTGTGTTGGTGTGAAAGAAGCGAAAAGTTTTTAATTTTTAAAAGAGAAAATGCATAAGTATTCCCTTAATCTAAGTCCGAAATTTTAGAGACACATTTATACTATACTAAGGTCCTATTATCCATTAATTTGTTTTATAAGTAATTTTGTACTTTTTCGGCCTACGTGACACTACCTTGAAAAAAAGTTCAACCAGCGTTGGACCCACAAAATAGTATCACTTAGATCGAAAAGGACTAAAAAATTATTAATAAAATAAGTCTAGGGGAAATGATAGGACCTTAGTATAGTATACGTGTGTATCTGAGATTTCGGGCATAGATTGAGGGGATACTTGTGCATTATTCCTTTTTAAAAGAATCAAGAAAAAATTATTATTTGCATTATTCCTTTTTAAAATAATAAAAAAAATTAATTTTTTAAGACTAAAATATCTATTACTCATTTTTATATAATAGTTTTATTATTGTTTTACGTTTATATATTATTATTTATGTATTATTTTACAAAATTAGAAGTAAAGATGATAACAATATTTTTGAAGCATTAAAAGAAAGAGAAAAAGTAAAAATTCTAGATTTCAACCCTCCCAAAAAGTATCAAATAACAATTTTTTTCTTAATTTACATATTATTTTAATTTTATTATGATTTTTTTAAAAAAAACTTTAGTGTATTAAACATGATAACTAAGGTTCAAATCTAAAAAAGATATTGGTAAAAAATAACAAAATTCTTCTTTTCAATATTTTTCAACCATACTTTAGCAAATATTTTAAGAGAATAACAATTACGGATTTCAGCTCCCCTAGAAAGGTAACAAATATTTTTTGTTCCTTTTTATGGTTTACATATTATTTTCTAGAAAAACACTTGCTTTTTTCGTGATTAGACTTTAAAAATTAAAATAATTAATTAATTATATTTTAAGAAAATAAATTAGTCAAACACAAATTGTTTATCAAAAGCACATTACAAATGAATTTGCCCAACATATTGTTTTTTAAAAAATAAAAGCGCTTATGGAAATAAATAATTTTTAATGCTAATATCAAACATACTCTTAATTTAAACTCACTTGATTTAAGCAAACTTCATAGACAAAATTCAAAACCCCCTTCTTCGAAGCATTGCAGTTTAATTGATACAGATTCAAAAACACTATTATTATAAAAGAAAAAGGAAGAGACGACATCGAGCTTTCGTATGATATTTTTCAAAATATGGAAAGTTTTTAGAAATACAACATAAATAGTAGCGACCACATTGAGCAGCCGAGAGGATTTTATGATATTTTTCAAAATATGGAACAAGCTTTTAAAAAAATACAACACAAATAGTAGCTCGAGAGGATGATAAGCTACACTGGAACTAAGACACAGCCCAGACTCCTACAGGAGGCAATAGTGGGGAGTTTTCCGCAATTGGGCAAAAGCCTGATGGAGCATTGCAGCATGGAGGTAAAAGGCTAATGGGGCGTGAACTTCTTTTTTCGAAGAAAAAACAATGACAGTATCAGGAGAATAAGCATTGATTAACTTTGTGCCTACAGACTCGGCAAATATGTTGAGAATAATGTCAAGGAAAATAACTTGCCCGGTAATTTCCAGGCTGAAGACTATTTTGAGAAATGTTTCAATTCTTTGAGAGGAGTATGGGAATACCTCTCAACTTGACTCAAATTATTAGTTTTATTCCCAAATAATTGACAATTTTAGTTAATAGGTACAACTTCAATTTGTAGTATGACATAACAAGTGGTATCAAACGCTTGTAGGAACATGAGAGTCTTAATAAAAAGCAAAAGGTTGAAAATATCCCTAAACTTGACGAGAATTTAGAAATGTGTTTCACTCATGTTGTGATAAGGATGTATTTAAATTCAATTAGTCAAGTGAATGAGTTTTTTTTAGACTACGAATAATTCAGGAATGAAACTAATAATTTACATAGAATTTAGAGGTATTTTCAATAGTTCTTAAACGTTTAATAACATCAAGATTGTGACTTCCATAAAATTAATCTACTTTTTAGTATATGCTCATTTAGAATTACGTATATATTTGGGACAATCTATAGAGATCAATTCAGAATTTGAGTTCGTAGGTTTCTGCCAATCTCAAATTATTGTATAATGACTGGACCTTGGAGAGCCCGATAGGAAATCGAAATAGTTGTGGAAGGGGGCGGAAGATACTTTATTATATACGAGGAACTCACGAAAATAAACAAAAATTAAAATTGACTAAAATAAAGGCCTACTTGGTGACCCACTCTTGATCAAGAGATAGAAAATTAAAGGCGCGAGTCATTTTTCTTATATATTTATAAATTTTCTAATACAAATATAGAATTCATGCAAAAGATATTGGTTCCCTAGAACGCCTATCCAATTACCTAAATCTTCCCCTGATAATCTAAACTAATCTTTCTATTCATTTTAATTTGGTAAAAGAAAAAGAATAACAAATTTTTAAAATTCGAAGATAATTAAACCTTAGCTTTTCATTTTTATCAAGTTTTTCTATCCACACAAACATTATGAAATATTTAAGAACAAAAATTTAAAAAATCTTGTAGCCGTATGAAAATTATGGCATATTTAATTAATATCAAACGTTTTGACAATATCTCTTACTTTATTTATGTTAAGCAAAATTACCCCACATAAATTTAAACAAGAGCATAATAATTAAGAGAATCAAATAAAATTTCATTATAAACAATCCAAAAAAAAAAGATAGAGGTCGACTATAAAAAAAAAAATTAATAATCAATAACCATATAACAGATGCCCAATCATTTTCGTCTGCTGTTAGTGGCAACAATGAATAAATCAATCTAAATTTTAGTGCTCCACTTTTTTTGAAAAGGAAAAAACTTAAATATGTCATTAAATTTTTAATTTTTTTTTATGTTATTAGTTAATAGTTTAATTCATTTATGTCATTGTTATTGAGAAAAAGATTTATTTATGTCATCAATAGAGACTTCAGAGATATTTAGAAAACATTAGTTCATGAGTCTTGTTCATTTCAGTTGTTATGTTCTATATTTGAGTTGTCGTTTTGGCTATTGAATGTTTCTTTAAATATTCCGAGTTAGCTATTTTGAATTAAGGCTTTACCTTTAAAGTTTTCTTATTGTTGAGTAAGTCTTTCGCTAAGAGTTAAGTCAGGCCAAGGGTTCGCTTGGGGCTTGCAATGATTTTCGAGTGTCGGCTACGTTCAAAGTATAGACTCGGGGCTTGACATAACCTAACAATATCATATAACTCAAGCAACCCCAAATTAATTGAAGATTCTAAAACTCCACATAAAAACGTCTTCCTTTAATATATAAATAATATCTTTTATACGTATAGTGAATATAATTGAAGACTAAAAATATTATCTTTGTCTCATTTCTCTCTTTCAGTATTACATACTACAATAT